TTTTTTGCTTAAAAATTACTTGTTTGTTATTATTTACGAATTTCAATTACTTACCACAAACGCTATTTAATGTGAATTTCGGTATGATTTCATTTAAAGTGATTGAGTTTGTATCAATGCTATTTAGCTGGTCGACGAATTTTTGACTTTCCTCTCTAAAATAGGCAGAAAAATAATAACTTAATAAATTAGAGGTTAGATTTTGATTTGATAAGCTTTTAAATACAGTGAAACCTCGATATAACGAACCTTGATGAAATAAAAACTCAACATAACAAAATTTTTACTGAGTCGCCAGTTGCTGCTAAATTTTCCATACAAAAACGGTCCATAGAAATAATAAAGAAAGTTTGAGCATGACCGTTAAAGTCCCGCTAGCGAAAGCCTCCGTGTAACGAAATGTCGACTCTCAAGTTTCTACATTAGCGAATTCTGAATTTACTCGCGCTTAGAGTTTGTTATAAAAAAAGAATTTTCACGATATTCTATATCTATGGCGAAACAAGACCTCCTATGCATTGGAAAGACCAGGTGGAGAAGGACTTGGCTTCACTTGGCATTTCCAATTGACGTCAGTTGGCACAGAAGAGAAACGTCTGTATTGGACTCGGCCAAAATCGTTTAGGCGGTTATAGCGCCAATAAAGAAGAAGAAGAGTGCAATAGATAACAACAATGTGGGTACCAAATTAAACATAATACCTTGTTCAATTAAGAAAAATTAAATTTGTTGGGCTACAAGAACGAACAGGTTTTAGCTGATAGCTAAAAAAAAAAGTAAAAAGGGCGAAATTCGAGGATGTGATCGTGTATATATTAGTTCAAAACAAAGAGTTTGTTTAAAAATAAATATTGAAATTTTCAAAGATATTCAAGAATACAATTTTCCATACCTATTCGTCCTTGTGCACCAACAAGTTTAAGCTTTCAATTTTACAGAAATTTTTATTATTTTACATTGCCCTGAATTTTTTAAATAATTTTTGAAATTAATCATATTTTTGAAATTTCAAATTCCTTAACAAAAATACTGACGTCTGAGAGAAAGACCAACAACGTAGTTGTACTACCAGTATATGATTTTGTGTGTCAAATTGACTGTCGCACGGTGTTATCACTACATAATAAAATTTATAAAAATGTATCATATTCAGTAATTACTCACTTGAAAACCTCCTCAAACTGTCCAAGTATATTAAAATGGAATGCAGGTGTTAATAATTTTCTGCGCGTTTGCCATTTTTTATCTAAAGTGCAGTAAATGTTGAGGTAGTTTTATTCAAAAAAAAATTTTTTTTTTCGCATAAGCACCTATGTACCTGTTGATGTTAGCAAGCCTGTGTGCAAAAATGGCTCCAAGAAATAGTATGCTATGCCTTTGGTAATTAAATTCTTATCATTCAGCAGTAGCTCAGCATCTTCGGCGGTGATTATGTTATAAAAAGTCGTAAATAAACCATATTCTACATAACTTTTTCTCAAAGTTGTAGCCGAAATGCGACTGTTCTCGAATAGTGCCACTGTAAAGTAGATAAATTATTTAATAAATTTACACAAATGTATGTAAATATTTCGCTTAATATTTCGCTTCTAAAACGAACCATTATCAGCACCAAAACAATCGAAAACATTTGCGAATATTGTCTCTGCCTTCGCCTGAGGTACAATATTCTCCAGCGGCGTGCCGTCTACTGTTTTTAAGCGTTTTGCAAAAAATGCCATTACACAATAATCTCGATTGAGCTTATAGAGCCAGGCGGCAATAAAAGCCAGACCGGTAATGATTACGTAGAGCAACATCGAACGTAGAAGCTGTTAAGTTTGTGTTTTTATATGAGTTGCAATTTAATTTTTTGAAAAGAACAATAAACGCGCAAACCATTCGCCAGAGCGATGAAAATAAACTGAGCTTTTAGTTTGGCAAACCAAGAGAATTTATATGGGCTTTGAAGTAAGTATAAAAAGGGAATTGTGTATAACATCTAAAAATATATGTACATCTAACATACATATACATAGATACATACATACATACAGACATCTATGTATATACATATATGTGGGGGAGGCTTGGGCGATAGCGCATTTGCTACAAACTTGTAGATGACTTTTATTAAACAAGGTATGTTGATATACATATGTATATGTATACATGTATGTATGTATATGTACATTAGACCGTACCAGAAATAAAAATTCGACGTCATCTCTGGTCTATGTAAAGAATTTTTGCAATGCAATTTCGAAAATTTTTATTTTGCCGAACTTCGGTTTAGCCTATTGATATTTTTCGTCATATCTTCGCTATTTACAACGGATCTTAAAGTATGATATATCGATGTATTTGCCTCGAGAGGAAACTTTTTTTGTTCTAAAGTCCATTGACCTCAAGTACCCCGTTCTAGTACTTACTTACCAGATCTCAGTTCCTACCACCCTAGCGTGACACCCTAATGTCAGTAAATCAAAGCTCGCCAAAAATCAATAAACACTTGCTAAGAAAGTATTTCGATTTTTTTT